TCTTATCTCGTAATTACGCGAGAGTTCTCTCGTTTTTACGCGATGATTATCTCGTAATTACGAGATAGTTTTCTCGTAATTACGCGATAATTATCTCGTAATAACGAGATAAAAAACTTCTTATCTCGTAATTACGCGAGAGTTCTCTCGTTTTTACGCGATGAATATCTCGTAATTACGAGATAGTTTTCTCGTAATTAAGCGATAATTATCGCGTAATTACGAGTTAAAAAATGAATATCTCGTAATTACGCGATAGTTTTCTCGTAATTACGCGATAGTTTTCTCGTAATTACGCGATAATTATCTCGTAATTACGCGATCGTTTTCTCGTAATTACGAGATATTTTTGTGACCCTAATAGGCTTTCGTAGTTTGGAGATGTAATGTACACAATATATTCAGTTTAATATAGTGGGTACCCAGGTAAGGACAGGGTTGGCGCCTTCAAATTAGTTTAACCCCGCCTCATTCGGTATGTGCCTGTCCCAAGTCAGGAGCATGTAATTCAGTGTAATGGTTGTCGTTTGTTGCTGTGTATCATATTTGTTTTTCTTTCATTATTTTGTACATAAATCAGGCCGTTAGTTTTCTCGTTTGAATTGTTTTACATTTGGCATTTCGGGGCCCTTTTGAGCTGACTATGTGGTATGGGTTTTACTCAATGTCGAAGGCCGTACGGTGATCTATAGTTGTTAATTTCTGTGTCATTTGGTCTCTTGTGAAGAGTTGTCTTATTGGCAATCATTGCCACATCTTATTTTTTTATATTGATGGGCAGCGGAATACAACTTACGAGGTCAACTAAATAAAAATAAACAAAGGTGATGGCTCATCTTTGACTTTGGTTGTATTAAAGCTGGGCAATATTTATGATACAACATTATACATGATTCTAAGTTTCCTGCCATGTTTTGTCAGTGAATAAACTAAAAAAAAATGTCTGGTTTTATTTTAAAAATACAAACTCAGTAGGGTGATTGTTCGAGGAACATTTCACTTTGTAGATACAGCCGGTCGAAACCTTATGTATGGATATGAATTATTCAAAGAGTCAGAGTCAATCTCTCTCACCAGTGACTTTAAACAAAAAAAGCAAGCCTCCTGTCCTTTTTGGTTGCATAACAGTCAAATACTTAATCAATGGGCGTCTCCTTGTATGCGTGAAGGATACATAGCCCCGAAAGTCGTTCGATTGTCATCGTAGAACTCAGATATGTTTAACCCGTCGCATGACACTGAAACTGCGTTCAGCTGTGGCATTGGTCACAGGCATTGTCAATTCTGCGTTGCATTGTAACTAGCAGAACACCCCGCAGACACAATATTCGTCTGCTATAAAAAGAGCTGAAATAAAGCGCAGGTGATGGGAACGAACGCCGGGAGTCTGAGAAGTGATATCGACTCGTTAGTTTAAACAATATTTTATTTTCAAAAGAGCACAAATTACAATTATACAATAGAAATACAGGGATTCGGAAACAAGAAGAACTTATATAAATCCGTCTCCCTATATCGACTCGTTGACTTCTACAACTTTATTTTATTTAACCGCACAGCGCCCATTTCTCTTCCTCTTCACTCTCTCTCACTCCTCCTTCTCTCTCATCCCTCTAGCTCCTTTTTATTTTATTTTTTATTATTATTTTTTTTTTTGACAAAACGACGTTGAAGCCTTAGCTTCCGAGCTTCCGCCTAGCTACGCCACTGGTCTCGTTCTTTTTCTAAAAAAGTTCATCGGAAGATACCAAGACCTTGTTGATAAATATTCCGTATCAACTTCACAAATAATACTTGATGGTCTTGAAGTATAGATTGTAGGTACTGGCGTTGTTTATCATTATCATTACGTTTTATAGTGTTCTTTTTATTTGCTTTGTACATTTTTAACCTTTACTGTTTATTCCATTCATGTTAATACCCTTTTGGCGTGGCTCGGTATTTATACATCCCGCCATTGTGTTAATGTGCTATGTTCATTTTTTGTATTCTTGTCTTTCATTTTTGCTTATGTGCTTTGTCTATAGTGTGTCTATATGCCATTTTGTTTTTCTTTGTTGACATAGTTTTTTGTATTTATAGTGATTAAAATCATAATACAATATTGACTGCTGTACCCAATTTTTGATATTTTACTTATTATATCTGTTAGTTCTGGTCACAAATTGTTGTCAATATAATGGATCGAATTCTATACAACTGTCATACAAGTGAGAGGTTTAGCTAGCTATAAAACCAGGTTAAATTCAACATTTTCTACATAAGAAAATGCCTGTACCAAGTCAGGAATACAGTTTTTTTCCATTCGTTTGATGTGGTTGAGCTTTTGATTTTGCCATTTCATAAGGGATTTCCCGTTTTGAATTTTCCTTGGAGTTCGGTATTTTTGTTATTTTACTTTTTTGAATTGAACATGTTGTTTCTTCCTATATTCGGCCGGTTTTGGATACTGACTGGTCTCTCACAAATACTGCGGATTTAAATCAAATGTTATGATAATAGATATAAGAAGATGTGGTATGAGTGCCAATGAGACAACTCTCCATCCAAGTCACAACTTGTAAAAGTAAACCATTATAGGTCAAAGTCCGGCCTTCAAAACGGAGCCTTGGTTCACACCGAACAGCAAGCTATAGAGGGCCCCAAAAATGACTAGTGTAAAACCATTCAAACAGGAAAACCAACGGTCTAATATATATAAAAAACGAGAGACGAGCCACATCAACAAACGACAAGACTTGATGTAACCTTTTAGGCGTGTTGTTTCTGATTTTTTCTTTTTATAGTTGCAGTATCCAGCCAACAGCTGTATGTACCTAAGGTATCTTCCTATAGCAGAAAGAACATGTTGACCCTGCTTTCCAACTATGTGCCCTTTTTGTATTACCTTATTCATGTTAGAGGTCGTTCTGGTTGTAAGTTTTATAATTATATGAACATTTAATATTTCCTTTCAATGTGATAATGTTTACGAAATCATAGTGTAATGTTTGTGTACTAACGTGAATGTCATGCTGCCCATCAAGGGTTCTTAATTGAAACAATAAATTTTCTTATTATTAGCAACCTATTATTCAAAATATTTACCAAAACCACAAACTTTGATATTATCATACGTTGCGTTATAGTTTTCTCATACGTATTTCCTATATAACCTTTTGTTTAGCAGACTCAAGACATGTAACCGTACTACGAGTTGATCAATGGTTTTCTCCAGAAATTAGTTTCCATGTATTGTATTGTTACACAACTCATCAACGTAATCTGATCTTCCGTGCAAGATTCTTTTTTGATTGTAGGAAGGAATGTTTATGTAGAAGACACTGACATGAACCTTTTCAGCTAAAAGCTAATTGTAGTCCACAGTTTAACATAGCTGATTAACTGCTTTCAACTTTTAAGAGATCACTTATTTTCAAAAATTAATAATAAAAACATCGAGGCTGGTTGTACAAACCATCAACCACCTTTCAAGCTAATAATGAAGTTGAACTTTTGGTGACTTTATAAAGCAATATTTAGAGTTGCGAAAATGAGGTCCACGTCCATCAAAAGTTATATTATCATGACTTTGTTGTTTAATGCTTATTCTTGCAATTCTAAATTGTGTTATATATTTAAGTTGTTTTGCGTGACCCATTTGAGTGTAATGTGCACATTAAGTTATTGTTATTATTGTTTTACCTATATGAAGTTATTTCCTTTCAGAACGGTAGGTCATTCTTTTGAAGAAACAAACCAGACGATATCAAGTTTCAATAAAATGTGCTTTAAGGCATAAAATAATGACTTGCTTGAGGTCATTATTAACCCCGGTTAAATTGCATACTACAGGTTGTCAAAACATTTTCCATCGTAAATATTATTTAAAGGTTTTGGGCAGAAACAATCCATTTCTCCATTTATTAGATTGAAATACTAGTAACAGAAGATGTATAAAACATGCAGTTTAACTTTTAAACACAAATAATGAGTTCTGTTAAATGATCCCTTCAATAAAGGGACATTTCATAGTATTATATTCTGATTCTCAATTTTTGTAAAGACAAGAGTGCACACGCTAAAATATCTCGCCTATTTTACTTATGATTGAATTTATGTTGCAAGTCTGTAATATGAAGGTACTACAAGTATCACATAAACTTAACATTATCAATGTTGTATGACAATGGGGTCACGGTGAGATAAACCATGCCAGACAGACATATACACCTTACAATCATTCCAAACACCAAATAAAGTGGTCCTTTTGCTTAAAGTACCTGAGAAAAAGATGAAACCACAAAATTTAAAAATTGACCAATGAATCATGAAAATTAGGTCAAGGTAATATGAACCCTACCAGACAGACATGTACACCTACTATCATTCCATACACCAAATATAGTTGACCTATTGCTTATAGTATCGGATAAACTGACAAACCGCAGAAACTTCTCATTGACCAATGAACCATGAAAATGTGGTCAAGGTCATATGAAACCTGCCAGACAGACATGTACACCTTACAATCATTCCATACACCAAATCTAATTGACCTATTTCTTATAGTATCTGAAAAATAGACCAAACCACAAAAACTAAACATTGTATAATGAACATGAAAATAAGGTCAAGGTCAGATGCTGCCAGTTGGAATTGTACACAATTCATCAAATAAAGTGGCCCCAACGCGTCATATTGTGCAGTTAAGATATTTTCTTTGTGATGGAAGATGATGTATTAGCAATATCAATCATTGATTAGAAACAAAGTGTTTAGGAGAGATTTGGTATTCCTATTTAGTTTAAAGTTTGAGTCTAATTCTAATAGTGTATTGCTTTTGGTTGTCTGAATGTGACTTTTGATTGTTCCAGGTAATGTTAATGTCTAACCCTGTCAAGTTGCTAGTTTTTAAGATGAGCAGGTGTTCTATACCTGTCCATATGAATAACCAAGGGGTAATGTTTCGTAATTGTCATATTTCCTGGAATACTAATATGTATGAGATAAAAATAAAATTCTGGATTCAATGATTTTTATTGATGAAATATTAATGCATGGTAACAAATATTAAGGTGCACTTTATTGGTCTGAATTTCTGGATTCCTCTGGTTACATTAATTTTTTGTTGTTGGAAACTACCCATACATATCTTAGATTGTTTCCTTTGTAAGCAAATTTAACTTTGTGATAATCAATAGGTTCAAGTGTGATACTGTGAGACCAAAGAAAAAGACAATGTATGAATAACAACTATAACAATGTATTATTATAATGTGATAACATGATTATCATATACTTAAAGAAAACTTTTCAAAAATACTGACAAAAATCACAATTTAAACAAATTTTGTTCTTCATTCTAGATTTATTTTCTGCTATTTTTAAAGCATTTTCATTTTTTTTTCTCAATTTCAAATAAAAAACTAAATTATTATATTTGTAAACTCTAAAACTAATTGTCAGAATAAAAACATTTTTGAAAGGTCTTTCATATGAATACATAAAATAATGGTAAATATTTACCAATAAGCATTATCTCAAAGCAAACACAGGTCAAGACAAACAGAAACCCATCAAACTGTTCGTCTCAAAACTTGTGTTGCTGAAAATATGAAAATGGTAAGAAAATCTGTATTTACATTTTACATATTCAGTTCTGTGTCACATAATTTTTCCACTAACACACTATCATAATATAATATTCTACTGATTGTCTCCCCTTCTTTTATCACAAGATGAAATTTTTTTTTCAAAAAGTAAAAAAGTCAACAGATTTAAATATATATTCAATTGTTTTTGAAATATTACATCACTCATTGTACATGGAAAATTTTGACTAGTTTTCTTGGCTTCAGTGAAAGGGAATGATCAGTCATGCTCCAGTATACATGTTACCTCAATCAATTGCATGCAGAGACACAGGTCCAGACCTGGTATTGGTCTTGTTTATATATAAAATTTAATACAACTTTATAATTCCCATTCCTTTTAATTGTTTTTTTTAAAATTCTTTGTTTATGCTTTTTATCAATTCTTCTTAATTTTATACTCTATATTTTTTGGTAAAAATTCATTAACAAAGTTTATGCTTTATTACTATTTAAAAAAACAATCATCTTGTGATAAATCATTTCATTCAAATCTGTGTAAACTTGGGAACAACTTCCTGAAGATAAGACAAAACTTCAACATCATTCGTCTCCATTTTCTGTGGTGTAGTATAGCCATAAGGGAGAGAACTCTGATCTCGGGATATTCTTCTTTTGAAAGTCATGCTGTTTCCTCTAATAGCTCCTGTGTAACTGGTATTCTGTCCTACTGCACTCTTAGAACTAAGTTGTCTTGTGAGGCTCAGATGTCTGTCTTCATTAAAAGATCCATAACTAATGAAAAATGGCATGTCTGTTGGGGTCTTCTTCCTGTTTAGTACATCTGAAATCAGAAATAATTCTATCTTGTAATAATGTTCCTCTAGTCGAAGTGATTCAAACTTCAGAATTAATGTTATAATCAACCTATGGACAATTAAATACTGTGGTTTCAGTATTTTTCCTGGGGTACCAGTTTTTAGGGAATTCATGGGTGTAAGTGAACCATGAACTTTCAATGAAGAACAAATTGTCTATAGACTTGTATGTAGACTTTGGTACCTACAAACATAAATTGTCTATAGCCTTGTATGTAGACTTTGGTACTACAAACATAAATTGTCTATAGCCTTGTATAGCCTTGTATGTAGACTTTGGTACCTACAAACATAAATTGTCTATAGACTTAAGCTTGTATAGCCTTGTATGTAGACTTTGGTACCTACAAACATAAATTGTCTATAGACTTGTATGTAGACTTTGGTACCTACAAACATAAATTGTCTTTAGACTTGTATGTAGACTTTGGTACCTACAAACATAAATTGTCTATAGCCTTGTATGTAGACTTTGGTACTACAAACATAAATTGTCTATAGCCTTGTATGTAGACTTTGGTACCTACAAACATAAATTGTCTATAGCCTTGTATGTAGACTTTGGTACCTACAAACATAAATTGTCTATAGCCTTGTATGTAGACTTTGGTACCTACAAACTTAAATTGTCTATAGCCTTGTATGTAGACTTTGGTACCTACAAACTAAAATTGTCTATAGCCTTGCATGTAGACTTTGGTACCTACAAACATAAATTGTCTATAGCCTTGTATGTAGACTTTGGTTCCTACAAACTTAAATTGTCTATAGCCTTGTATGTAGACTTTGGTACCTACAAACTTAAATTGTCTATAGCCTTGTATGTAGACTTTGGTACCTACAAACTTAAATTGTCTATAGCCTTGCATGTAGACTTTGGTACCTACAAACATAAATTGTCTATAGCCTTGTATGTAGACTTTGGTACCTACAAACTTAAATTGTCTATAGCCTTGTATGTAGACTTTGGTACCTACAAACATAAATTGTCTATAGCCTTGTATGTAGACTTTGGTACCTACAAACATAAATTGTCTATAGACTTAAGCTTGTATAGCCTTGTATGTAGACTTTGGTACCTACAAACATAAATTGTCTATAGACTTGTATGTAGACTTTGGTACCTACAAACATAAATTGTCTTTAGACTTGTATGTAGACTTTGGTACCTACAAACATAAATTGTCTATAGCCTTGTATGTAGACTTTGGTACTACAAACATAAATTGTCTATAGCCTTGTATGTAGACTTTGGTACCTACAAACATAAATTGTCTATAGCCTTGTATGTAGACTTTGGTACCTACAAACATAAATTGTCTATAGCCTTGTATGTAGACTTTGGTACCTACAAACTTAAATTGTCTATAGCCTTGTATGTAGACTTTGGTACCTACAAACTAAAATTGTCTATAGCCTTGCATGTAGACTTTGGTACCTACAAACATAAATTGTCTATAGCCTTGTATGTAGACTTTGGTTCCTACAAACTTAAATTGTCTATAGCCTTGTATGTAGACTTTGGTACCTACAAACTTAAATTGTCTATAGCCTTGTATGTAGACTTTGGTACCTACAAACTTAAATTGTCTATAGCCTTGCATGTAGACTTTGGTACCTACAAACATAAATTGTCTATAGCCTTGTATGTAGACTTTGGTACCTACAAACTTAAATTGTCTATAGCCTTGTATGTAGACTTTGGTACCTACAAACATAAATTGTCTATAGCCTTGTATGTAGACTTTGGTACCTACAAACATAAATTGTCTATAGCCTTGTATGTAGACTTTGGTACCTACAAACATAAATTGTCTATAGCCTTGTATGTAGACTTTGGTACCTACAAACATTAAATTGTCTATAGACTTGTATGTAGACTTTGGTACCTACAAACATAAATTGTCTATAGCCTTGTATGTAGACTTTGGTACCTACAAACATAAAGGAATCCACAGTACTTATGTATAAAATTGTCAAATAAAAACTGTAGTTCACATCTTACCTATATTTAAGCTTAAAGTTATAGCATGGATGCATATAATGGGAAGAACAAACACAATACTTTAGCTGAGTAACACTGACAATGTTATGTACAGTATTATAAAACATGGTTGTTTTAAAGATTACTTTTTTGTAACTTTCTATATTACAAGTATGTTAATTCATACATATACAATGGTTGTGGCATCTATGCAACCTGTAGTTTTAAGCGATATGTTTAAATAAATCTAACTATTGCCATGTATGGTACATAACTGTATCATCAAGTGACAGATATCAATGGTATTGTCATAATTCTATTTATTTATCATTTTTTACTTTTATGAACATGAATAAAAGAAGATGTGGGGTAATCATCAATGAGACAGCAAACCTAATGATACAAAAATGATAAACCTATTACACGACTTACCATCCATTGTGTTTTTAAGTTGTGTAGCTGTAGGTCTTCGTTGTGGGATTTCTGCCACCATATCTTTAAGGATGCTTTTCATTTCACTACAGCAAGCATCAGGTATCAAACAAGTTTTTACTAATGACGGATTTTTTGCCAACTGAAATGAAAATGAATTTTATATTCTTCAAATTTACTGCAGTTTTGTAACTAATCAACTACCATTTCTATTTATCATATGAAACTGAAGTATGGCTAAATATCCCCTCCAAAAGAAAGGAGAGAAGGAAGATGGAAAAACTGGTCAAAGAAAATTTAGATGATGCAATAAATACAACTTGTGACTTGGACAGTTGTCTCATTGGCACTCATACCACATCTTCTTATTTCTATTAACAAATAAAAAATTTAGGAGCAACCTAACCCAGATATATAGGGCTGCTACCTTCATTATATGGCATGATGGCATTTTCTCTAAATTGCATTTGCACACAAAATATATGGCTATATGTCTAAGTTTCTGGGAACTTGTTGTGGAATGTAGACAAACGCTGCAGGATGGGTTACGGGATACAGCTCCTTTCCCCAAAAAAAAACTTTATTGTATGAACTACAAATTTATAAACAAAATAAAGCAGGCAATTCTAATAATACATATACTAGACTTACAGAAACAAGTATGGTCTGTCTGAGTTTATTAATAGTGCCAGCATCTAGGCCATTGTATGACATATTCCCATTGTTGAAAAGGGAGATAACCACATGTCCCCTTCTGTAGACAAACATAATTGACAATGCCAAGGAGAAAATATCTGACTTGGTAGACATAACAAAATCTGCTGTATCAAAGTTGAATAGATTCATCACTCCTGACTGATACTTGGAGGCAATTAACTGGATTCCCAGTTCTGGAGATAAGTACTCCACTGTACACCCCATGAAGTCAGGTGGTTCTGTAACTTTCTTGGCTGATCCAAAATCAGTTATTTTAAGGCAGATGTCACTCTCTCTCTTAAGAATGCAGATATTCTCAGCTGAAACAGATATTTAAAAAAATAAATTTAATAAAAATCATAAAAATCTATCTGAGGAAACAAAACATTTCAAAAAAACAAATCAAGGTTTCTTTCCAAAAAATTGTCCTAAACAATAACTGTTGCTGATTTTTAATTCTTAACCCAGATTAACTGATAACAGATGAGTAACATATAACTTTTGTCTTTCTCTTTGTGTGCCAGGTTTCACCTGACAACTTCATTTACACCATATAGACATTTAATAATACAAGCTCCATAATGCAAACACAAGTTAATGTTAGGTTGCTCTCCTCAAAAAAATAAAAACCCAACAAAGACTAATATAAAAAGCCCGATTTTTGGTGTAAAGGTCAGGATAATATATTAGGAATCTTTTTTTAGATTTAAATTCTTAGTTAGTTTTAAAAGCATGCTCCAGTTATCATCTGTAAACTGTTGTATCCAAATGGCTATAATTTCTATATTGATGCTTTTTATAATTGCATAAGTGAATTCATAGTCAATTGAATATTACAAAATTTTTATATCCTAGCTCGTCCAAACACTTCCCCCCCCCCTGGTTTTTAGACAAGTCAAGATGCTTTGGTTGGATAGATGAGAGAACATTTATCATCATATTCAAATATTCACACAGTTTTTTTAATTTTTACTCTTTCAACACTGCATAACTTTCAATGTATAATACCATTCAACACTAAGTAACTTTGAGAATTTCATTGATTTAGGGTAGGTACTTTTAAACTGATGTATATTTGTACTCAGTGGTCCAATTCCATCATATGAGGTATCAAAATAATCAGCATACTTTGTACTTGCTGTACCTGTTTGTCTTATTGTGACTTGTGGTGACATACAGGTGAGATACAGGTAAAAATACAGGTAAATCAGGTAATTTTGATAAACTGGTGTTGTTACTATGAAATGACTTTTATTTTGTTTGAATTTATATTGATTTAAAAGTTTATGAATATTAAAAGAAAAAAAATGTGATATTGTCTCAATTGACAAGGTATTTGTACTTCGTTAGCACAGGTAAATGTGTAAATTTTCATGTATGATTTTCTATATGTAATAAATAAAAAATACAAAAGATCAGCATGTAGTGTTGTTATTTCTGAATTGTTTGCCACATTATTGTTTTCCAATCATTGTTCATCATTATTTAAAGAAAGAATAGTCTGAAAGTTCAAGTTATCCGTATAGGTAAGCTCAGGTAACATCGGAGATCATTGCCAATAGTACTCCTTTGTGTGGTAATCAACGAAGCAAGTGTTTCTAGCATTGCAGCACAGAGGAACATCACACTTTTGACAAGCCATAGATCTCTCTTCCTTTTATTTGGTCTTTCGTGACCACTGACATAACCTTCTAAGACAAAGGCGTTGTAAAAAGAAATCGCTCAGAGTTTGAACTCGATTTTCCTGTACCACCTCATGCTTTTCTTCTCCTTGCTTACTCTTGTCATTTGATCTAGTCTATCAACTCCTCCCATGTATTTAGCATATTAAAGCCTGCTGTGTTGGAGTTGCAGATAACTGATTTTGTGTCCCATCTTTGTTTTTACGGATTGTGGTAAGCTGTGGATCTTCAGGTGCATGAAATGTTGACAAATAGTAGACAATTCTATTATCTTTCCAAAATGATGCTAGCAAAGGTCCACACATTAGCCAATCATATTCACCTCTATTGAGTCTTCTTTGTTCAGCAGGGGATTTGACCAATTCCTTTGGATACCCCTTACGATTCGTGCTGATTGTACCGCAGATGTAGGAGTCGCGCATGTAAAGTTAGTTAGCCAATTGCGGACTTGTATAAAAATTATCTGTGTAGATGACATGTCCTTTTTTTTCTAGGAATTTTGTCAGTTCAATCACTACTTTTGATGAGAGTCCAAACATACGGTTTACAACAGTGTCATTTTTCCCTACATAGACTTCAAAGTTTACACAATAGGCAGAAATTGCATCAGTAGCGACCCATAATTTGATTCCGAATTTTACTGGTTTATCTTTCATGTACTGTTTCATTCCTAAGCGTCCTTTGAAAGGAATCATAGCCTCAACAACACTGATTTCTCTGTTTGGGAAGTATTCATCCTGAAAGTTTTCCCTACAACTATCTAAAATGTATCTAACTTTGTGCAATTTGTCACCTGTATCGTCACTAAAGTGCAGGTAGCTTTTGATCTGGACAAATCGGTCCCTGGGCATTATATCACCAAATTTAGACCCTACAAGTCGAAATTCTTTGTTGTCAGCCCAATAAAGTTCATCCCTTTCGAATTTCATAATTGTCATCAAGATAGAAAGTCCGTAAAATGCCTTCATTTCAGGAACTGTTACGTCAATGGCATCTGCCTCACACTTACGGGTGGCGTTCAAATTTGTAAAATTCACGATAGAAGTGAAGACTTCTTCGGTATAAAAACATTGAAAATAGTTCAAGGCAGATGCTGATGTGTCAAAATTTCTTACTGGGCCCACACGTTCCCTAAATTCACCATTGTTTCTTTGACTTTCTGTTTTACTCCAAGTGTCAAAATGTTTATCAACATAAATGTCCGCGTCTTCAAACCCCTCAAAGACATCTTCATCATCACTGTCCCCTTCTATATTTCTCCATTGCCTTTCTTATTCATTTCTGTCAGCTTGATCAACATTTATTAAGTCAAATTAGCCGACATCATCAATTATTTCGTCTCCTGACAGTTCGTTTTCACTATCGCTAGCCGCCATTTTGTATACAAAAATTCCAAAAATTTTCATCGCTAATAATAGACAAATATTTTCTTTGTTTCCCGTTTAAAGTACTGGAAAAGCCAGAGAAACTCGAATGAATATATATGACGCTAGTATGTTAATTTAGAGGGGTTTCCCAACAACCGACTAATGGAAATCTTGGTTTAAAAAAAGTAACATGCGCAGCCCGTTTTACCAGGCTATAGTGTGCTATAGTGTTTACGAAAGTAAAATGGATTTCCCGGTAAACCGGGTCACAGTGCTGAAAGAGTTAATGGACTGAAGTACAAAAAGTGGCAATCATATTTCTCATTGATTTTATTTGTTTTTAAACTTACGTTTAATATCATAATGAATGACCCCCTTGCTGTCTAGATACTCAAGAGCAGACAATCCTTGGTATAACATATCAATGATCTTGTCTTCTTTCAGATCATCAGAAGACGGGTCTGCTGTTGTGGTGTACTCAATCAGGCTAATTCCTGAAATAAATTTAAACTGTTATTCTACAGGAACACACTTGAATACCTGTTTTATATTTGGCACTTAACTTGAGGAAAAGACATAACATTTGGTTGAGGCAAACTAAAGTTAGAGAACAGAAAGCAAGATCAAAACACACAAGATTTAACAAAATATTGAATGAATTTCAAGTAGTTGATGTTTCTATGAACATACATGTATTCCTTACATCTTTTGGCCAGAATTATAATCTGACTACAGAAACCAAGGAAAGGTAATAAAGACATGAATTTGTTTTACTAATTTTTCTAACAGAGATCTTTTTACGACCTTATTTATCTTACAGGTGTAAATATTAACACACCAACTTGTTTTTCTAACAAGTATATTTTATCAATTAAATTCATACTTGAAACACATACATGTACATTGGATCTGGAATTTCTTACATTTCCATTTCAGCAAAAAGCTTTTTCCTGAAATTTTACAAGCATTTACAAGTTTTGACTAAAAGCTTCTTTCTGATAAAAAGTATGGGAAGAACACCACCCTGAGTAAGATTTTAAAAGAATCATGGCATAATATATTGATAATAAAATGCTTTGCTGAGCGCAGCTGGATACGATCGCAGAGGTCCAACCCTGAACAGTTGGGGCAAAAATGGACACAATATTCGCGCTTGATACAGGTCTGAATTTGGATTGTAATTTAATATTTGACACATAATAGGTTTCTGACACCGAATAACTGTAGTCAAAGAACTTAGAATTGGTTATATGATTTGAATTTATATTCAATTATTTGCTTTTGTGCAATACACTATGCTGTTGTAAAATTGACCCTCCCCCCCCTCCAAAAAAAAAAAAATTTACCCCCCTTTTCTTTGGCTTTTGTGAAATACACTATGCTGTTGCCTATTGACCCCCCCCCCCAAAAAAAAATGTTTACACCTCCCCCCCCCCCCCCCCCCCCCACCTTTTTTGGCAAAAAGAAATAATATTTGAAGAAATTTTCTTTTTAATATCTGAAATCTGATATGAAAAAAAAAATTGCCCCCACAATTTCTTTTTTAACCCCCTTCCCCCTAAATTTTTTTTCAACTCCCCCTTCCCCCTTTTCTAAAAAAAAATTCTTTCCCTCAAGATATGGTCATAATCTCAATTCAAATTTCCAATGGAGTTTGCAACCATAATTACCAATTTAAATACATCATAAAAGTCTTAAAATAGAAAAAAAGAATTCCCCCCCCCCCCATATTTTTGGAACCCCCTTATGATTCATCACCCCCAAACTCAATCCCAGCCTTCCCTTTGTGGTATGGTACCTTGTAGTACAATTTCAGAGAGATCCATACACACGAACACAAGTTATTGCCTGGAAACCAGAAACATGCTTATTTTTGGCCCCAAATTCCTACACGTTTAGGGCAATTACCCCCAAACTCAAACCCAGCTTTCCCTTTGTAATATGGAACCTTGTAGTACAATTTCATAAAGATCCATACTCTTACACACAAGTTATTGTCCTGAAACTAGAAAAATGCTTGTTTTTTACCCCTTTTTGGCCCCTAATTCCTAAAATTTTGAGGCAATTACCCCCTAAAAATCCATCCCAGCCTTCCCTTTGTGGTATGGTACCTTGCATTACAATTTCAGAGAGATCCATCCACTTGAACACAAGTTATTGTCTGGAAACTAGAAAAATGCTTATTTTTGGCCCCTTTTTCCTAAACGTTTTGGGCAATTACCCCCAAACTCAATTCCAGCTTTCCATTTGTGATATGGAACCTTGTAGTACAATTTTAGAAAGATCCCTAAACTTACACACAAGTTATTATCATGAAACTAGAAAAATGCCTGTTTTTTGCCCCTAATTCCTAAAATTTTGCTGCAATTACCCCCAAATCAATCCCAGCATTCCCTTTGTGATATGGAACCTTGTGGTACAATGTCAGAGAGATCCATACACTAACACACAAGTTATTGTCTGGAAGTTACAAAAATGCTTATTTTTGGCCCCTTTTTCCTTAACTGTTGGTACCATAACCCCCAAAATCAATCCCAACCTTCCTTTTGTGATATTGAACCTTATGGTAAAATTTCATAGAGATCCATTCACTTAAAAGTTATTGTGTGAAAACCAACGTGTCTTCGGACGACGACGCCGCCAACGTCATACCAATATATGACCGCATTTTTTGCGGTCGTAAAAAAATGAATCAGTGATATGTGGAATTTTATCTGTTGAACTACAATAAATATATATGTATACAGAAAGTCTTTTTAATTTTGACTGTAGATTACAAACCTGCATATTCCATAAGTATTTCTGGTACACCATCTCTCAAAACAAAGCCATACAATTCAGCAATGTTCATGTGGTGGATCTCACTAAGTATTCTTACTTCATACAGAAAGATATTATCTTGCTTGAATATCTGTAAAATGATCCATATTTGTGACTATATATATATATATAAGATGTGAAAGAAGACCCGTACCAGACAAGTCATTTATTACACAAAAATATTTCTTTTCTTTAGGATATATTATTTTTCCTAAATTTATATACCTTATCAGTTTCAATGCACAAAACCTTTATTTTTTTTCAAAAGTGTACAACTATAGAATTGTTTCTGCAACAATATTTACTAACATGCTACATGAACATCCTTGCATAAAAAAAGATATTGATCTTTGGCTCCCGTCCTACTTCCATATTACACATTATTTTTAAACTAGAGAGCTAAAGACTAATTTTGATATCGTCTGATCTTGAAGCAGAATGTTCAAAATATCTCAAGTAATGGATTTTTAAACCAGGTGAGCCTTATATAGAGAAGTTATTAATTATGAGTATTTTACTGACCTCTTTCTTAACAAATTCCATTCTGGTCATGTTGTCTTGAAAAAGTTTGACACAGCCATATGATCCACGACCAGCAATTTTGATAAACTTATGACCATTGCCAGGACCTTCTAATTCCTCATATTCTCCTAACTCAGTTGGCTGGTTGTTCTATAAATAAAATAAACACAACTTTTATGACTGTTATAGATATGTAAACTTAAACAATTTGAAAGTCAAAATATATAACAAGATATTAGAAAACTCGAGACAATAATATTTATTTTTATTTGCATAAATTATGTGCAGAAATCATCTCCAATGGACATGGACTAACAAACCCCATCTTAGTTCAATAAACATAAGTGGCAGTAAAGAAACTATATGATTAGTAATCAATGGAAATTTCAGTTTTATGTTATACTTCTCAAGGTTAATTACTATCATAAGTTCACTTACACTTTTATATCATTATTCAAACTCCCTCAGGCAAAGTTGACCTTAGATTAATTTGGCTATTCTTTTTTGGTTTCTTATGAACATACAACTCCTAACGTTTCTACTTATTTATACATCCCTGGTTTTCAATGTTATTTTTTAAGGTTCAAGTGTTCTGACGAAGGTAAATTTAGAAAAGTGCTTCAGATGCAAATAATTTTAAAGTGATATTTTCATTTATAGCATGTCCGGAAGTGGAGGTAAAGCACTGTGTGGCATGTTACACTGGTATAAAGTCTTACTCGAGTTGTCAGAATACCATGACAACCAATAGCTAACTCTGCAGGCTGTGTTGTATAAACTCTCAACAGGTGTGACAAGGATTGCTGTGTACCGGGTAATACATACCTATAAATAAAAATATAATATATATTTAGTTTGTTAGGTTGGTGAACATTTTCGAAAAAAGAAATTTTCAAATAATTCCAAAGAGCCTGTATATCTAACCTATACTTATATGCATGCCTGACGTCAACTCCTTAACCCTACTTAACCTATTTAATATCTGCAGCTATCAAGTCTTACTCTTTACAGGATTAACCATAAATGTCTCCTTTCTGGTGTCCTTGCATTTCAAAATTAAATGATCACTGTTTTCACAGTACACTTAACAAGGACAGATGACAGTGAGAGTAGGACATGATGTCCTATGGACACATATTCTTTAATTACACTTTTTTCTAGAGTATATTGTTGGAGGTCAACAAAAATATTTTCTTTTTGATGTTAGTAGAAGTTGTCAGTGCACAACTTTCAGTTATCCTGGCTTGTATATATATATATTGGCTATTTTCATTTTGTACTTATTTTATTGTGGTTAACTATAACCAGGAAATTATTAACCAATGGAAACCTTTGAAGTAAAAACAACCGTAACTTTGTAGAAAGTGATTTATTTTAATTGATTGTTTACTAGTTATAACTGATAGATACATTAATAAAATGCTTCGCTGGGCGCAGCTTGATACGACCGCAGAGGTCGAACCCTGAACAGTTGGGGCAAGTATGGACACAACATTCAAGCTTGATACAGCTCTGAATTTGGATTGTGATTAAATATTTGACACAGCATAGGTTTCTGACACAGAAACAATGTGGTCTAAGAACTTCAATTTTTTAAATTTACCTATTATGGTCCAATGTCCAAAATCAAAATACATGGTTAGATTCAGCATATCAAAGAACCCCATATATTCAATTTTTGTTGAAATCAAACAAAGTTTAATTTTGGACCCCAACTTGGACCAACTTGAAAACTGGGCCCATAATCAAAAATCTAAACACATGTTTAGATTCAGCATATCAAAGAACCCCAAGAATTCAATTTTTGTTAAAATCAAACTAAGTTTAATTTTGGACCCTTTGGACCTTAATGTAGACCAATTTAAAAAACGGGACCCAAAATTAAAAATCTAAATACACGGTTAGATTTGGCATATCAAAGAACCCCAATAATTAAATTTTTGATGAAATCAAACAAAGTTTAATTTTGGACCCTTTTGACCTCAATATGAACCAATTTGATAGCGGGCCCACAAATAAAAAATCTAAATACATGGTAAGATTCAGCATATCAAAGAACCCCATATATTCAATTTTTGTTGAAATCAAACAAAGTTTTATTTTGGACCCCAGTTTGGACCAACTTGAAAACTGGGCCAAAAATCTAAAATCTAAATACATGTTTAGATTCAGCATATCAAAGAACCCCATATATTCAATTTTTGTTGAAATCAAACAAAGTTTTATTTTGGACCCCAACTTGGACCAACTTGAAAACTGGGCCCATAATCAAAAATCTAAACACATGTTTAGATTCAGCATATCAAAGAACCCCAAGAATTCAATTTTTGTTAAAATCAAACTAAGTTTCATTTTGGACCCTTTGGACCTTAATGTAGACCAATTTAAAAAACGGGACCCAAAATTAAAAATCTAAATACACGGTTAGATTTGGCATATCAAAGAACCCCAATAATTAAATTTTTGATGAAATCAAACAAAGTTTAATTTTGGACCCTTTTGACCTCAATATGAACCAATTTGATAGCGGGGTCCACAAATAAAAAATCTAAATACATGGTTAGATTCAGCATATCAAAGAACCCCATATATTCAATTTTTGTTGAAATCAAACAAAGTTTAATTTTGGACCCCAATTTGGACCAACTTGAAAACTGGGCCAAAAATCAAAAATCTAAATACATGTTTAGATTCAGCATATCAAAGAACCCCATATATTCAATTTTTGTTAAAATCAAACAAAGTTTAATTTTGGACCCTTTGGACCTTAATGTAGACCAATTTGAAAACTGGATCCAAAATTAAAAATCTAAATACACGGTTAGATTCGGCATAACAAATAAATAAATGTGGTCAAAGATTTACAAATCTAATGCGCCATACTGTGCAATTAAAGATTACTTCTTGGAAATTTTTCAATATTTGAAATTTGAAAAAAAAATAATATTTGAAGAATAATTCTTTTTAATTTCTGAATTCTGAAATGAGAAAAAATTGACCCCCCACAATTACTTTTTACCCCCCCCCCCCCTTTTTTCCCCCAAACCATAATTACCCATTTAAATTTACCATAGTGCTAACTTAATCTATTTTATAATAGAATTTAAAATATAGTGTCAAATCTTTCATATGGATTTTTTTGTAAAAAAAAAAAGATGCAACATTTGCAGATATTTTTACTGGTCTTCCTTTATAAATATGCATTTCTTTAAACATAATTTAAAAGCAGTGTAAGGGAAGTAACCAAAACGTTGTATTTGGATTACCTCCCTTACACTGTTTTAAATTATCTTAATTGTTCATTAACCATTACTTTATACATAATTTAAAAGCAGTGTAAGGGAGATAATTTCAATGATGTATTTGATTTATCTCCCTTACACTGCTTTAAATTATGTTTTGTACTAAAGTATTTGTCCATTAACCAGGACAACCTTGTTTTCCCCCTTTTTTGCCCCTAATTCTTAAACGGTTTGAGCCATAACCCCCCAAAGCAAATCCTAACCATCCCTTTGTGGTATGGAAACTTGTAGTATAATTTCAGAGAGATCCATACACCGTTCCACAGTTATTGTCTGGAAACTAGAAAATGCTTATTTTTGGCCCCTTTTTGGCCCCTAATTCCTTAACTGTTGGTACCATAACCCCCAAAATCAATCCCCACCTTCCTTTTGTTGTATTGAACCTTATGGTAAAATTTCATAGAGATCCATTCACTTTAACTAAAGTTAGAGTGCGAAAACTAATGCGTCTCGGACGACGACGCCGGACGACGACGACGACGACGCCAACGTCATACCAATATACGACCACAAAAAATTTTTTGCGGTCGTATAAAAATCAAATGAAAAAAGTCTGATAACACAATAATCATTTATATTTTGATGCCACACCTAGGGGCATTATGTTTTCCGGTCTGTACGTTCGTAAGTCCGTCTGTCCCGCTTCAGGTTAAAGTTTTTGGTCAAGGTAGTTTTTGATGAAGTTGAAGTCCAATCAACTTGAAACTTAGTACACATGTTCCCTATGATATGATATTTCTAATTTTAATGCCAAATTATTGTTGTATTTTTTATGCCAAAGAAGCTGATAAAATTTTGTTGCATAATGTGGAAATTCAGGCATACCAGCTTCAATTTAAATCAGTCTTTGGAATCAATATGTCTAACAATTGAAAGTCAATTTCATGTTACTGTCATGTGATCTAAAACTGAATATATGTGACCAAAGATATTGCTTTCACAAGTTCAAGGGGACAAACAATTGTCATAATATTCAAGCAAATTAATTGTGTTTAAATCAGATTGAAATTTCATCTTTGATGTTTTTCTCATTTACACATTTCTGATTTATTTATCAATTTTGCTAGTGAGGCATAACAAAAATAATATACGTTTGTTTCCTGTCTCCAAAAATTATAAAATAGGGTCGGTCGGTATTTTATTTTATTTTTTCATATTATTTTATTTTTTTTCATGTTTCTCCCAGTTTGATCCTGTTTTACACTTATAAATCCGGTAATTTGCACATGCATGTTGATACATTGATAATTTTCAATGGTTTAACAAGTTCTACTCTTGTCAGTCTTGATGTGCGAGTGAATAATCAAGCTGAAATTGAATTTGTAGTCAAATAAAAAGGATCTCAACGCTTATTCTTGAATAAATTTTTTGATAGGCAATAAAATATTTCAGGGTCAGCATGGTCTGTGATCAAACTAAGGGTCGGTTGGGTGACAGGAAACAAGCATTGGTTTTTTTGGCCTGACCACTATCAATTGTTGATTCAAATTCAGAAATGCTTTTACTATATCACAGAATGGTGTTGAAAATATAATGAACAAATTGACAGTGAAATCTAAACGGACTAATTTGACTGAAAAGGAGACGTATGATAAGGTCATTTTTTTGTTGTTTTCTTGTATGACATGTATTCAGAACTTTTGTTCAGTGAGACCTATAAGATGTAATTGTCAAGGAGTTTTATTTCTATTATTTTTTTATAATATGGATTTAATACAAATGTTAAGTATTAAAGAAATTGTGCCAGTTCATCACTTTGAATAATGCTGTAAGAAAAAGATGGCACTGTAATGTTTTAACACAATTACATACCCTTTCATGAATTCATGCTTTCTGAAGTAATTAGAACCATTTAATAGTTCTATGGCCATTTTGCTAGGGTGAATGTCATTTGTATCAGCACTCGAGGGCTGACAACTTAAGGTTCTCAACTCTGGTTGCGGTTGTACATTTCCAATAGATGGTTTACTTTCTGGGCGGATGTCGTGATATGAACTGTCATCACTGATTGTGATGGTCATATCCTCTTCTGGTATTTCATCAGGAACAACATGCAATTGGAACTGTTTCTCCTTTGGTGCTTCGAAAGTATTTTCTATATCTGTGTCTGGTGAAACAGGGACACATCGGTTTGCTTTCTGATACTGTCTGACAATCTTTTTAATCAGATCTACCTTCCATGGCTCTTTGTGACTCTGTGCCAGCTGCTGTATTTGAGCAGCAACAATTTTCTGACTGAGTTCTTTCTGATTGCCTACAACCTGGACTTTTGATGGTTGTCTGATACCACCAGAAGCTTGTGCAACCATACCATGTGATTGGCGGGCATCACTAGGCTGTCGAACTCTTGATTGAGAGTCTGTTGGCTGATAAGCTTTTGTTGTAGTCTGTGGAATGTATCTTGGGTCACACCTTGCATCGTTCATAGGTTTCCCATCAAGCTGGTCTGGGACTTGAAATGGATTAGAAAACTCCTTTTGGACATCTAGATTAGGAGGACTAAGTGGGCTTTTTGGATTCAGATTTGCAAAATCTCTTTCAAGTCTCTGCACATCGTCATCATCTCGGGGAGCAACTACACGGGCTTCTGCACAGGATAACTGTAGGGATTTTCCACCAGAAAAGTGATTCCTATGAGTCAAGACATCAAGTTCTGAAAGTAAATGAAAAAACATGCAATTTTATATAATATATATATTCATTTGTGAAATGTTAGAAAATGTTATTCTTTTGCAGACATACATGCATAAGTTTATGTTGTTTAGTTTTTTCATTTAAATTCAATTTAAAGTAATATAAATGGGGAATGTGTCCATGGGGCACAGATGATGCCCCCGCTTGCATATCATATAAAGTTATAAAGGGACATAACTGAAGAACGGTAAAAGTAATGCTACTCAAATTTATACTTAATCCGAGTTTTGTGGTAATAAGTACTGTGTATAAGTTTCATAACATTTGGTAGAGGCAAACTTAGGTTAGAGAACAGAAACAAAAAATTCAGCAATTTTTCCATTTGTAAAGGGGCATTACTCTAGAACGGTTAACGTGACATCACCAAAGTTCAAACTTGATCTGTATTTTGTGGTAATAAGCATTGTGTATAAGTTTCATAACATTTAGTTGAGACAAACTAAAATTAAAATAAGGAAACGAAAAATTCCGCAATTTTTCCATTTGTAAAGGGGCATACCTCTAGAACGGTTGATGTGAAGTCACCAAAATTCAAACTTGATCTGTATTTTGTGGTAATAAGCATTGTGTAAAAGGTTTCTTAACATTTGGTTGAGGCAAACTAAAGTTAGAGAACGGAAACGAAAAATTCATCAATTTTTCCATTTGTAAAGGGGCATAACTCTAGAATGGTTTAAGTGTCAATAAGTGATGCCACCAAAATTCAAATTTGATCTGTGTTTTGTTGTAATAAGCATTGTGTATAAGTTTCATAACATTTGGTTTAGGCAAACTTAAGCTAGAGAATGGAAACCAACTTTGGGACCTACGTACGGACACGGTAAAACTTAATGCCCCTCCGCTACAGCGGGGACATAAAAAATAAAAATTTAAGAATCATCTGCAGCATTGCAAATATTTCAGTCCAAAAATTAAAACTAAAAGTTATCTGTAATTGCATTCTAACATATATGTAGGACTCAAATCTATGGTGGGTTCCAGATCTATGGCAAATTTCTGCAAATTCCTAATCTATGGTAAATATGATGTCACAAACGCCAAACAAATCACAAATCTATGGCAGTATTTTGTTTTCTACAAATCTATGGCAGATTTGGATACTACGTAATTTTCCGTCACAATTAGATAATGTCATGTAATGTCGAAGCTGTCGCTGACAACGACGGTTTTGTTATACAAAAGGAAAAGAAAAAGATCGATAAGCTAGTTTCAAGGATCCAAATTAATAAATAAATTATAATTCAGAATTGTTTTTGTTCCTACACTTGTTTTCATCTTCTCGTGTTGCTGGTGTTGTTAAAGGTTAAATGAAGGGTCAAACAGGTACTATGCACAGAGTAGGGAATACTTATTCTTCCGGGGCACATGATTTCAACCCTAAAGTCTGTGTTCATTTTACAAAGGTTATGGATATGCTTCCTAGTAATAGTCCTAATTTGTTTTTCTTATACTGGTTTTACTTTAAAGCAGCTTTTTTAATAGCAGACTTGTTTTTGTACTGTTATGAATCACAGTTTAACTAGCTGTCAGTAACTGCGAGTACTCTCAGATCTGTATTTAGTGTCTTTTTGTTGTTTGGATGTAAAAGTACCCGGCCACGTCCACTTGTATTTGTATTATTTGTATTTTTATCCATCTGATGAGTTAAGCCTCTTTCAACTGATTTTTATAGTTCGTTCTTATGTTGTACTGTTACATCACTGTCCCAGGTTAGGGGAGGGTTGGGATCCCGCTAACATGTTTAACCCCGCCACATTCTGTATTTATGTGCCTGTCACAAGTCAGGAGCCTGTAATTCAGTGGTTGTCGTTTGTTTATGTGTTACATATTTGTTTTTCGTTCATTTTTTGTACATAAATTAGGCCGTTAGTTTTCTCGTTTGAACTGTTTTACATTGTCATTTCGGGGCCTTTTGTAGCTGACTGTGCGGTATGGGCTTTGCTCATTGTTGAAGGCCGTACGGTGACCTATAGTTGTTAATTTCTGTGTCATTTGGTCTCTTGTGGAGAGTTGTCTCATTGGCAATCATACCACATCTTCTTTTTTATATTTTCGCTACCTTTGGACATTTCGACCTCGAAATCATTGTTAAGATATGTACTGACTGGTCCGACCTTTGCAGAAAATCTGTCATAGATTTGAAATCTAGAAATCCGCCATAGATAAGAAAACTAAAAAGTTGCCATAGATTAGGATTCTAAAAAATCTGCCATAGATTGGGGATGGCATGACGTCATATTTACCATAGATTAGGAATCTGCCATAGATCTGGAACCCACCATAGATTTGAGTCCTACATATATATTACAATATGTTAGATATATTTATAGTTTTGTAAATAATTTACCTGTAGTTCGGACATTTCTGTCGTCATCATGAACATTTGATGTGTTGCCATTATCAACCACCATTAGTGTGTTTCCTTTTGAACCTTGTACAGCAAGATCCATGTCACTTCCCCTTCAAAAAAGAGAGGAAATTTTACTAACACAAACTGTTTTTTTTTTAATTGTCTGATATCATACATACATGTGTATGTACTTTTTCACTACTACATGTAATGTAGCACTTTTGATTTGAAATAAAACAGACACATATGCAGTATGTGTTTTCCCCTAAGCCTTTTAATATCATGGTACTGTAAAAAAAACTGACGAAAAAGCAATGCTTACTGAGCTTTTCTCTTGTTTCGAAGCGAGAACAAACACATTTTATATTTCCAACAATGTATATTGTTTTTATTCTGCAATTTACACCCTGCACTTGAAGCTTCAGTTGTTTAAATACAAAAAGATGTCTCTGAATTTTCAATGAAATCAAGAATTTAAACAAGGGTTAGATGAGGCATGGAAGTTACAAATTTGTAAAGCACACAAAGGGATACAGAAACACTCCTGGAAACAGTTCTAAGTTTAAACTTGAATAGCCAGCAGTATTGGATTTCAGAAGACTTGAACGTCTTCTCCACAAAAAAAAAATGTATCTGAAAGGATTTTCTGATAGATTCTGTTATGGATGTGATGGTATAATTTCTAGAAACAATATGATCAGGGTTTTCAATGAGGCAAGTCTTTGCAGCATTAAGAAGATATATTTTTGTCCTGCTATTGAATAGTCAAGAATTAATTTACTGCTTTAATAAGTCTTCCAAAAATAAATTTTATTACTTTTTTCTCGTTACATGTGTGTCAACATTTTATATTAGGGGCAGTTGTTACAGTACTTAAAACTTTTGACATGTGTAGTAATGCTCTCATAATCTAGTAACCTGTTATTCTATTTAACATGTTTAAAATTCAATCTTTTTCAAGAAAAAATATCACGATTTACACATGTTGAAATAATTAATGGCAATTTTTTTTATATACCTAACATACATACAAGAACTAAATTATTCTTATTCATGTTGTAATAGTTAATAAAACATACCTTTATTATTAATTTTTATATACTGAATCATGTCAAAGGAATAAAGTTAAAATAATTTCCTTCAGCAACCAATGTTTTACTAGAATTGATAGTCAAGTCTGACTAAAGAACCATGAAAATTTCAATCGACTAGTATTTTCCAGTATTGTCACTAGAGGAGTATTGTACGGGCAGTTTATACCAAGGGCGGTATTTACCACACAACCTTGTTTCTCATTCTTGGTTGCAGGTCCCCTAATTTAGAGCTGACCCCTCTGCCCCATTTTATTTGTGAGTGAATTTTTGAGAAATAAGAACTTGAAATTACTGGAACTGTAACTCAGAACGCAACTTGAGCTCTTACTTGATGGTGAGCCATACTCCATGTATAAAAGGAAAATAAGAATGATTGATTGCTGATTAACATCCTGCAGCAAAAAAATATGCATGCACATGCATATTCAGGTGGACCCCTGGGAATAAAATATCAGTAGAGCTTGTTTGCCTATGCTACATTTAACGTCTGACATTAAATAAAGCTTTTTGAATTTTGTTAAAGGAAGTATGGTGAATGAACACAGATTTCAGTAATAAATCCCCAATCTGTTTTTATAAGGGAAAAAAATAAGGGGAATTAGTCTTTTATGTTTCCCCTGAGTGACTAACTGAATATCATCAGCAAACTTTGCAACGATAACAATACCAAGAAATGTACAAATAAATGTTCTCCAACAACCAGGAAGTTTCTATCTAATGTAAAGTTGTGCAATATCTTCGTTCAATTTCATATACATTAATCTATAAACCTTCCCATTATTGGCATTAACAAAATTACCAAAAAAATGAAAATAATGTGTATTTACTTACAATGATTAACTAAAACACATATAAATTTCAACTTTAGAATACTTTTCTCCTGGGTTGGGCTTTCATGGGTATTCCCATTGGGAATTTCCCTGAGGGGTCATGATCCTGAAATAATTAAATTAGGACTATTATCTCCTATATTTAAAAACAAAGGAAGTAAGAATGACTCTAAGAACTATAGAGGAATTGTTGTGTTACCCATTCTATGTAAAATCATTGAATATATCGCCAGAATAGACTTTAGACCAATATTACTTGAAAAACAATCCCCACTACAAAGAGGATTTACACCAAATACTTCCCCATTAAATGCAGCAATTATATTTGAAGAAATATACAGAGAGTACACCGACTGTAATAGTCCTTTTTACATTGCGCTACTCGATGCTAAGTCGGCATTTGATGTCGTCATCATAAATATGCTGATGAGAAAGTTATTTTTACTAGATATAGACCCAGCAACTTGGTCCATAATTGACGAACTTCATAAAAATACAAGCTGTAGTATCAAATGGAAGAATCAACTATCCCAGGAATTCAAAGTATATCAAGGGGTCAAACAAGGTGGATTGTTAAGTGCTGACCTGTATAAACTATACATAGAAGACTTGTTATCATTATATGAAAACTCAACACTAGGCTGTAAGATAGGTAACATCAATATCAATGCTGTTGCATGCGCAGATGACATTGCACTACTCAGTGATAATCCTTATGACCTACAAATTTTGGTTAACCATGCCTTACAATACAGTCAACTCCATCATTATACTCTACAACCTCAAAAAAGTGTCATTATCCAAGTAGAGAACAAAGCAAAGAAAACAGCTAATCATAATTGGAATTTTAATCTTGATAACAAAGAAATGCCAAATTTGGACAAATCCACACATTTAGGAATAATTCGTTCAACAACTAAGTCAAAATCAGATAATCACAATATAGAACAAAATATCACAAAAGCTCGCAGAACAGCATACAGTTTACTATCAGCCGGTTTTCATGGGAATAACGGTCTAGATCCGATAACATCTGTATCAATATATAAGACATACATCCAACCTGTCTTAACGTACGGTCTAGAAGTAGTACTTCCGAACTCAACAAATATGCAAAAATTAGAGCTGTTTCAAAAAACAATATTGAAGAAAATTTTGTCATTACCTCCAAATACCCCAGATCCAGCAATCTACGTTATCTCAGGTTTACTTCCTATAGAAGCACAAATTGACACAAAAAGTCTAACCTTATTTAATAACATATGCAGACAAAATGATAGATCAAAAGAAAAACAACTTGCATATAGACAGCTGCTTATCAAACCAGACAATAGCAATAGTTGGTATATAGCCATCAAGAAATTATTATATAAATATGACTTTTCTGATATCATTCAATTCCTTGATAATCCACCGAAGAAACTTGAATGGAAAAATATCATACAGAAAAAAGTAGATCTGTATTGGATCCATAAAATAATTCAAAACAGTAGATCATATCCAACGTTGACATATTTAAATTGTGATATATTTTTACCAAGAAAAAATCATCCAATTATTGATCTCAATATTGACAACAATCCGTCAAAAGGTGCGCTATCGATTGCGATTAAACTTAAATTAGTCACTGGAACTTTTATGACACAAATCAAACGTGCTAGCTTTACAAAAAGTGAATCTCCTTTATGTAAACTCTGTGACGATGAAGATGAAGATATTGAACATCTACTATTAAAATGTAAGGTTCTAGAACCTATAAGAAGTCCCTTCATAAATCAAATTGAAGATAATATACTTAAAGATGCGTCCATTTCCTTTTACAAATTGTCTGCAAATACTCAGACACAATTAATTATGGACTGTACTAAACTTAGACATCAGAAACCAGATTTATTATTGGATAGAAAAACAGAACAACTATGTGAACTAATTTCCAGAAAGTTGTGCTATGCACTGCATAGTATAAGAGCTAGAACCATAAGTATGCAGAAGAAACACTCAAAATAAGTGTATACTGATTGAGTATTAACTGATTCAACAGAACTAGTGACAGCAATTAAACAAACAATTGCGGACCTGTATATAAACTGTATATATATATTTGTATGATATTCTGGATGGTGGAGGGTCGTATGTACTAATGCACTCTACTAAGAGGTTGTCCTGAAGGACGGAGAAAGATTCAGCGGTAAACGGTAAGATCACCTGATAGTGAAGCAGCCATTTTGAAAAATATTTTATCATTGTTTATTGAAAATCGAAACTATAACATGATACATTACACCAACGTCATTTTTCTCGGCATTGAAAATACATTTTATCACATTACGAACTCCGCGTTGATATATGTTTTATCCAATGTTATGCATTTATCAACAATAAAATAATGTTCATGAAAATTAGGCATGATCGGTCACTGTCAGCTTCAAAATCCGATAGGGCTTTCGTCAATTTTCTAGTCAAAGTGGACTTAATTTCGTTACCTGATATAAACTTTGTTTACTCTTCTACCTTCAATGTTCTGTTAACACTCGTTGGACTAAAATCCGCCTGATGAATATACATTTTATGTAGCCTCCGAAGAAGCTACAGAAAATTTAGAAATGTTCCGAATGAATTGAGGAAAAATTGGGAAAAGTTTTGTTATTTTGACTTAACAAGTAACTTGATGAGAGTAGTAATGGGTACTCTCTTAAATTAAAGAAAACAAAATATAATTTATATTTAAAGAAATGAATACGAGGATTTTTAACAATTTCTTAGGTTAATACCATAATTTCCCATTCCCCTTCCTTCAAATTTGCCCGCCAAAATAACTATTTTTTTAGGAACCACTTTGCGTTTTAGAGAACTTCCTGTTTACCTAGCAACCTTCAATATGGCGAAGAGAATTTGGACAATGACTATGTTTTCAGACGGATAGTTAAATAGATGAACAAAATATAGTGGATCAAATCAGTGCATTAAATCATTTAAAAGAAAAACTTTAAAAAATACATTTGAAATTAATTTGCTTGTGCAAAGTGCAACTTAGCAACAATGGCGACATCACACATGCAAAGAACTGGGCTAACACCCAAATCAAATATTATGATGACTGAAAACATTGTGGATAAGCCACGTATTCCATTAGTTGCCCATGTAATCACTGATGATGATATTGGATTACTCCAGGTATATACAAATTTACTGTGTTTTGTGAACTTACAGAGACGTGTTGAAAGAATCTGAGTCCATTCGCCCAAAATCACGTTTGCTCCCATTCACGTTCCCACCCCAAACGTTCGCACCCTTTATTGGTTTTGTGTTCAATAATTTTTTACTCGTGTTTTAGTTATGGTATTGCTGTAAACAACATTTTTATTGTATCAAAGTAAATTTTTTTTTTTTTTTAGGGGCCAGCTGAAGCCCGCCTCCGGGTGCGGGATTTTCCCACTGTGTTAAAGACCCATTAGTGGCCTTCTGCTGTTTTCTGCTCTTTGGTCGGGTTGTTGTCTCTTTGACACATTCCCCATTTTCATTCTCAATTTTAAAGTGACATTCTAAAAACATAAACATGTTTCCTACTTCATGCACTTTAACTGCACACAATCATTCAAATCATGAATTATTTCATAAAAAAAAACAGCACTAAAATGTTTAGAGTAACTGCTTTATAAAATTTAAAAGAGCACTAAATATTTTTTAAAAACCCTGAAAAATGACATTATACACCATTCACACACCAATACTATCTTATATGCACTAATATAAAACAGTTTATTTAAGAATTAATGTATCAATTCAAATAAGAGTCAATATTGTAATCAAAGTTCAAAGTCTCCTGTGGTGGAAAATCATCAACTGGTTTGTCTGATGGTCAATACAGTCTTCATCAAATCAAATCCCCCAAAAAATATTTCATTTTGAAATTCCCGAATTTTTATTAATGAAAATATAAATAATTTGATCTATACATCTAAAAAAACATCTAATAATTCAATCGGTTTTTGAATAAAAATAGGGTGCGAACGGACCCAGGGGGCGAACATGTATTGGGAGCGAACAGACCCGATACCTTGCTGAAAGAATTTTTGATCACAATGGCAGCATGTTTACATATGAAAAAGAAAGTTGCAAAGTTCAAAGTGCTGTAACTAAATAAAGCAACAAAATACATCAAAATTAAAGCTTACCTTTAATATTTTGTAAGGTGTCTTTTTAGCTTGATTACATTTAATATCCTTTTTGGAATTGAAATTTGTACAAACACTGAATGTAGGCAGGCGTAATACTGACCCAAATACGGTAGATTTCTTGGAACAAATAATTTTTAGATTAAATCATCCCAGTAAGGGTTTGTTAATAACCAAACATTTTCAATCACATTAAGGTCTGAACACTTTGGACCTGGGTTTCCACTGGGTCACCTCTTTTGCCAAAAAACAATATATTTTTCGCCATTTTCAATTTTTTTTCGCAAACTAACATTAACATAATTTTTATTTAAAATTTTCCTTCTTTCTTACAAAAAAAAAATCATTTTGCCACATTGTTGTCCATGATAATTCTACAAATCTATATATTAATCTACATTGTAATAAAAAAACACTAAACATTTACTTTTTAAAAGATACTGTAAAATTGCAATATAGATCATGAAAACGTAATTTTTGACCTCTTGGAACACATAATTCATCTTCAATTAAGTTTATCGGTTATATACTTCCTGTCTAGTTTAAGGATAAAGACTAAAGTCAGAGATTGTTCTTACTTTTGAACATTTTTGGTCAAAACAAAAGTTTTCTTTTCTAGACCATCGATAAAAGAAAAAGAGGAGACGTAAAACGATGCTTCAAACACGTGCGTTGCTAAAACGATTGTGGAGTACCCACCTCAAAACAATTATTTTTATCAAAGTTGTAAATAAATCCTTTAGGTGACATGTGACGCCATTTAACCACACCATTTCATTAAATAATACAATCATCACCTTTAATAATTAGTCCATTGTTGCCTATAGCTATAAAATGCAATCAGCTGATTATTGATTTTCTGTCAAAATCGTAACGAGTTCAAGGTGAATTCCCAGTATTGTCTGATCAGGTTAAGTCTGAGAAACCTGAAAAGAGTAAACAAGATGGATGAAATCGAATCGTTATATTTCTTTCGCCAAATTCTTTTGCCAATGATGAATTTTAATCGCCACTATTTTTATTTTTTCACAAAATGCGAAAATGGCAACAGCCAGCAGAAACCCTGCTATGGACTATTAATTCTGTTCTGGGCTACAAAATTTTGGGTGGACCATGCACAATGGACAGGCATGTTGCCATCTTTGAAAAAAAATTACCTCCAGGAAAATGTGAACTTATCTCTTGCCACAAATGTTCTTCAAGTATTTCTTGATATTTAACAGCATTTAATAATAATGCTCTCTACAGGAACAAGCTAGTGTACTGACACCATTGACATAAACACACCCCCTAATCATGACTTTTTTGTGATGTCAACGATTGAACAAGGTCTGGTATTCACCTCTTGTCCATGTTTCGCCATACATAAAGCCATACATGTATAAAGAAGTTGATAATCATGAATTTACTCTCATCGGAGAAAGTAACCTTTTTCCAGTTGCTAGTAACTGCCATCACCTTTTTTCTCTGCAAGTTTTTTTTTTTTTTATGATTGACTTCCTGATGACAAATTTCTTCTTATGTAAATGGTGCTGAATGGCACTCAAACAACAAAACAAAAAAAGAAACTTCATGGGAACTGTCCATAAGGGTTGAGGAATTAGGAAATGTAATGCAAACTATGTTCGACTTGTACTAGAACCTATTTTTTGCCACATGATGCTATCCAAAGGTCATGGGGAGAATCCTTTGTATAACAGGTCAATCTGTTTCTTTGTGACAGTATGAATTTTGAAAAGATATCATGATAATCTAATTCACATGTCCACACTTTTATAGAAGTCTTCTAGTCTATGAAGTGAAAAGTATTTTAATGGTAACTTTTATTTTGAAGCTATAATGTGTTTTCTAAGCAGACCAAATAAGTAATCTTTGAAAAATTTCATTTTAAATGCTTTCTGATTTTTTTCTGGTGATTTTAATCATTAGAATAAGAAGAAGAATATTTTTGGTCCAATTAAGGGCACTTGATGGGTAGCATGACATTTATTCACACAAAACAATACACTATGATTTTGTAAAAAAACTTTTTTTTTTTTTACATTGAATTGAAATATTAAATGTTCATATTAACTTAGTACAAATGTACATGTTCGTTAAGCATAGTTTAATGTAATCTGATAATTTTTTATTTCAGGGTGCTAAACTACAGCCTATCAATTTGAACAGAGTGGTGAAACTTCTCACAGATCCACATTCTGTAGGTTTAGTCAGAATTTTAATGATTTTCCACTAATTTATTGAAATCTTTACATTTGTCAATCTGTCTCGTATGACTGAAATATTGCTAAATCTATTCCACATCATTTTTTAATGATAACACATTGTTTTTGAAATGAATTCCTTAAGATGATCTGTTAAACAGATAATGGATATAAGAAGATGTGGTATGAGTGCCAATGAGACAACTCTCCATCCAAGTCACAATTTGTAAAAAGTAAACCATTATAGGTCAAAGTACGGTCTTCAACATGGAGCCTTGGCTCACACCGAACAGCAAGCTATAAAGGGCCCCAAAAATGACTAGTGTAAAACCATTCAAACGGGAAAACCAACGGTCTAATCTATATAAAAAACAAGAAATGAGAAACTCTTGGTAACCACATCAACAAACAACAACTACTGAACATCAGATTCCTGACTTAGGACAGGTGCAAACAAATGCAGCGGGTTTAAACGTTTTAATGGACTATTCTTTTCCTCCTTTTATTCACTGTTTATTACAAATATACATTTGTTTGTAGCTATTTCTTCTATATGAACCAAATTTTTCTGTATTTATCTTAACAGTTTGATGATTTTTTGACACATTGAATTATACTGGTGCTTTGTCATATAATTATTTTTCTTTTTTCATAAGATTACCTATTGTATTGTTATTCAATACTGGTACATACACATATAACACTGTAACATATTGTTACTGAATACTGGTACATACACATATAACACTGTAACATATTATTACAGAATACTGGTACATAGATATAAGAAGATGTGGTATGAGTGCCAATGAGACAACTCTCCATACAAGTCAAAATTTATAAAAGTAAACCATTATAGGTCAAAGTACTGTCTTCAACACGGAGCCTTGGCTCACACCGAACAGCAAGCTATAAAGGGCCCCAAAAATTACTAGTGTAAAACCATTAAAACGGGAAAACCAACAGTCTAATCTATATAAAAAACAAGAAACGAGAAACACTTATGAACCATATAACACTAACATATTGGTACTGAATACTGGTACATACACATATAACACTGTAACATATTGTTATTGAATACTGGTACATACGCATATAACACTGTAACATATTGTTATTGAATACTGATATATACACATATAACACTGTAACATATTGTTCCTGAATAATGGTACATACGCATATAACACTGTAACATATTGTTACAAAATACTGGTACATACACATATAACACTGTAACATATTGTTAC